TAAGTTTTATTGCCAATTTCTGTTCCTACCATAAATGCATTTTGTAATGAATCTTCTCTCTATGGCTGTCCATGAATGATGTATTATTATTTTGTTTTAAATGTGAAGAAATCAAGTGACTTTCCCATGATTATACTACTGGTAAGGGTCAGGGTCAGAAAAATAGTTTGCCAGTTTCCCAAGTATGAATTTTTTTCAGTGCTTGACAAATGTGAGGCAAGTTCTTAGCTTCTCTCAGCAGCATTTCCCAAGGGTGTTCTTTGGGATGCTAATTGATGGTATTCAACAAACAAAGAATCATACAGAAAAATGAATTTGGGAAATGATAAGAAATTAAAACTGGCTTCTTTTCTGCGAGTATTCCCTGAATTCTTAATATGCTAATAAGTGAATATATAATGAATAACATTTTATATAGCACTTTCTGAAGATGACCTAATATCCACAGAACCATTATTTCACGGCCTCTCTCAAGACTTGTTTCATTCAGAATAAATCAGAGAAAATGTCTTTAAAAAAAAGGGAACTTAGTGTAACAGCACTAGTTCATATTCTCTTAATTTCACTTGTCATGAGAAATCTTAACCCTAACATTTCCTGGTTGACTATTCAACAACAAGGTTGTTATGAATTCAGTTACACATTACTTTTAACCTTTGCCAAAAGCTTTTCTTAGGAGGTTCAAGGAGGTTCCTCACCTTCTAGCAGAGAACTAGTAAGTTTCTGCATACATGCTCAGGAAAGTCATAATATTAATTAATAAGAACTTCCACTTTTTTAACACTTGCTAAATTCAAGACACTGGGGCACTTATCTCAATCTTCAAAATGAAGTAGGTACTAATGTGACTCTATATCACAAATGGGAAAATAAAGGCTCGGTAGTACATGCAAGTAAGTCAATGACCACCATAACAGTGATAAGATTCATTACCAAGTCTCTCTAATCAGTGCCCATGCTTTTAACCTCATACTCTTATATTCTGACTCATTATCAATATATTTAAAAATAGATGACTCTGATTAAATGTTAGAAAAAGAATGTACCAGAAGACAACCATGTCTGTATCTACCTAATGATATTTATAGCTCCTAGCACAGTGCTTAGCATGTAGGAGGTGTTTAAGAAATCTCTATTGAAAAAAAATTGAGTTGAATTACAGTATGGAGCCTTATAAGGGAGATATATAGAAACAACAGAACACACTTTGAAAAAAAAATAAAACCATCGATTAAACAACATAGTATCTTCACTGTGAACATGTGAAGAAAAATCACATCATTCTTTGGAATGACTGGAATTATTTTGAGAGCTACTTGTTTCACAGGGTCATAATTTCCCTGTTGGCTTATTGAGCTAGAGAACGAGATGCTGCAGCTAAGCTGTCATCATTGCCTCTCTTTGTTATTGCTCTTTTATTACACGTTTCAGTTGCAGCAACAGGGATGAATCAGGCATACTTACACAATCTTGAGTTTCCTGAAGGAGAATTGCCTGTTAGTCAACTACCCACTTATCCAACTAGTAAAGATTTAACCTTAGATATTGGAGCAGGTGACATTGTCAGAAATGTAGACAGAGGATAAATAAAGAAATAAAAAGAACATGTAAAATCATCTAGGTAAATTATTCAACTACAACAGAGACAAATTACAAATGTTATGATCCTGTCTGCAAAAGGAAATGCATAGGTGTATTTAGATGAGCTTCTCACACTGAGATAAATAAGATAAGTTAAAGATAATGAAAATTATGTGCCAGGAGTGATGCCTAAAGAAGGCAATCCTAATTACCCAAAAGAGTATGGATGGTGTAAATTGACAAGGAGGGATAATATTGGATGGCCTAAGAGTTAAATAACTAGGAAAAACAACATATGGTAACAGGGAAAGAAGGAAATACCTATTCAAAAAACTTGAAACTATCCTTGTTTCAAGTTTTTTGAAACAAGGATAGTTTTTTTTTTTAATCTTAATATTAAGCCTATTCCAGTGACTCTCTGATTCTGCAAGATGGGGCTCAAAGCAGAAGATGTAACACAGCCTCTTTACCTCCTTTCAAAGTGTTTTGTATTTTTCATGAGTCAACTGATGATACTCAGAATATGGCGCTGACACCATTCCCATTAAAGTAAACACCACTGTGCATAATGACCACTTTCACTGTGGGAACATATGTAACCTTTTTTATTTTTATTTATTGACCTTCATTTACCCAGACTCTTTATTCACAGGATTCACAAGGTGTGATACACACTAAGGTGAATGAAACCAAGCAACTCTTATTCCTCCTTTTCCATAGTTCCTAGCATAGTCTGAAACACGGCAAGCACTATAAAAATGCTTGTTTAGAGAATGAATAGAGGATCCAAATGACTGAAAGAACATAGAGTTAAAACAACCATTATTACATTTTGGTTCCAAAAATCTTTCTTTTCATCAGATTAACTGTTCTTTGAATGGTCTAAGGTTCTTATCCCACATAACATTTTATAATCCAATATAAAGTGGAATTACCAGATTTAAAGAGTTTACATCTCCACTGGGGCTATGTTTTAAGCTGCCAAATGCCAGTGAAATGACATAGGAAACAACATCAGATTGCTGACATATTAACATTGCTTTCTAGAAATATACGAGCTCGTTCAATGAGTGCCTTAGCTGTCCCTTTCCTAACATAATCTTATACGAATAACAATACAAATATTTGTTAGAAAATTACCTTAAGAATTTACCCTAAGTGGTTGATCGGAGGAGTAATTAAACATTAGATAACATCAAATCCCCTGGGTTTCAAATTTGCCATGGTTGCTAAAAATTCAGATTCCAGGGCCCCATCCCAGTACTACTAGATCAGAATACCCAGGAGCTACGGCCTGAAAATGTGTGGATTTCAAAAGCTAAGTAGGATTTTGGAATCACTGCCTTCTCCTTTTGTTATCTAAAGAACTTTATTTCTAAAGGAATGAGCTATTGAGACCCAGTCCTCTGGGCTCAGAGCTCCAGTGGAGAAAGGACAAAGCCCATTCACCCTTTGGTTGACCCTTCCATATTTTCCCCTGATGCTTGCTTTTTCATTTCTAGCAAACATTTTCTATTTGATTCTGCTTCGAGGTATACTAATAGGTTTCTTCCTGTATTCGAGTACCAGTGCCGTATGTTGGAAAGAATTGAATAAGGCAGATGTGCACTTGCATATTGGCTGTTTGTATGACCTTCGCCAAGTTACTTCACTTCTTTAAGCTGACATTTCCACCTCTGTAAAAATGTGGGCAATAATAACCTTACAGGGTTACAGTGAATATTAAATGAGATAACAAGAGATAGAGCCTGAAACATATTAAACGCTCTTATGTAATTATTACTTCCTTCCTTATGAGTTACTTTTAGAAATGTGAGTACCTATTGTCTTAATTTCCTGAGCAAATACCTACCACCCTACTTAGCGAGATTACAGATCAGGGCTAACATGGTTACTAAGCAGTAAGGATCCAGTGTATCTGCGTAGCAAGGCTGAGAGACAATCTATTTAAAAGGGGCAACTTCCAAGGGATTTGTCTTGAAACTGTAAAGCAAGGCATTTCCTTTTGCTTAGATTCCGTATCTTTGTTTGCGTGGTTTGAAGGAGACTAAAAGCTACTCTTTCCCCTAATCACCCCTTAATACTGCCATTGGTGGTAGGGGACCCTATCACCAGAATTCTGTCATTGAAATCTCTCCCTTGCTTTTACTCCACTAAAGCCAATGAGTGTGGAGATGGTTGTGATAGATACAGTCCCATGCATTCATTAAATGAGGAATCATGGAACACCTACGTTGCAGAAACTGTCCTTGAAGGAATTCAGATGCACTCTGGGAGTCATCTCTGGATTCTAGAACCCATGTTCTGGCTCCACACCACTTCTCTAGACACTATCCTGTGTCATTAAACACTAAAAGCAGTGTTTTGTAAAACAATCTCACGCATATCAATCCTTCATCGACTGGCCCGGACTCCAGCCATCCATTTCCTGTTAAAAGAGGAAGTACAATTCCAAGACCCAATTCCATAGTTGTTGCTGAGCATAAAAGCACTTCAGCCATCATCTCTGCCATGAAGTGATTATTCTCTGAGGGTCAGAATAGATTTCCTCTTTGTTTTTAATTCTAAGCCTGTAGTGTATTTCAACGTCAATTCATTTAAACTTATTTATTGCCTATCAGGCACAGGGACATCACAGAGACAGATAAGCATCTCCACCTTCCCAAACTTGCCGTCTACATGAATACTCCGTGATAAATTATTTGGGGTGAATGGAGTCTCTTTAGCCTGAAAATGACAGCATCTATCAGTGTTTAGTGGTGAATACAGCCCAGGGTTAGACATCATCTGTCAGCATAGGCTGTTGTACAGACGTATTTTATTCCATTGTATTTTTAAGTGAAACAAGGGAAATTTCGTTTCCGCTACCGGGAACAAGGCCACTTTCTTGTGCGGGCCTTCATCGCAGCCCTCCAGGAGAAAGCCCCTGAGGGTGGGCTCTCAGACTTGCCCTTTCCGGGTTTGGAGCCGGCAGCAGCCTCCCAGCAGGGCTTCCGCTTGGCGGGTGTAATGGCTTTAGCGGCCGCTAGAGGGAGGTGAGCGCCTAAGACAGTAGCGCTGGTACACGCGCCACCCAGGCCACCTGGGCTCCAAGGCCCATGACCTCCTGCCCTGGCTCAGCAGTCACTCAGCTCAATTTAGAATACCCTGCAAAACAGACAGCGTGATAACAGAGTTCAATCAAAGATAGAGCTGCCAGGTAAAGTACGGGAGCCCAGTTAAATCTGAATTTCAGATAACAAATACAAATACTTAAAAAAAAAATCATTATCTGAAATTTATATTCAAATTCAAAGTGAGTGCACTGGACTTTTATTTGCTAAATCTGGCAATTCTAACCAAAGAGCAAAGGGCCCTTGGAAAGACTGAAAGCCCTTTTAAGTTACAGAGGAGGGGAAAAGAAAGAATTTACTACCTACCTGTTAACTGAATCTTGGACAAAGTATTGCATCCTGTAGACTGGAAGAGGCTGCTTTCGTCACAGTTGGCAGACAAGCAGCCATGCAGCCTGTGGTCTTGTCTAGGAGAGGCATGAGGAAAGGTCCTCCCCATCTTAGAAAACTTCCTCCTTTATCTTCTCCAAGGCCGAATGCGTTGCTGAAGTCCTTTCTGTGTTCATTCAGGAATTTCTCCTAAAGATGCAATATCAGAAGAAGAACATAAGCAAAATACAAGGACACACACACACACACGAAACAAAACACACAAAAAAAGAAAAACACAAGGAACAGAAAAAAATAGTTCGTTGGCTTTTCTAGAGAGATTACTTGGCAGCTTGTTGGAAGTAAGTACCAGCCTAGGAAAACAGGCTAAAAGCCCAGGTGGAGAGGCAACAAGCAAGAAGGGAACAAAGCATCAAGATGACAATGAGGACCACAGAAGGAGGCTGCCATTACTAATGCTACATCCCTGGTTAATGATACTGTCCAGGGCTGGAGACTTTTGGAGGGTGGCTCAAACCAAGTTAACAGAATGACATCTGAGCATCTGGAATGCCCCATCGTGACTGCTATTCATTGGTGATAATGGTTTTCGCAGACTGAATAAACTCCATCAATAAACGGAGCTCTACTGTCCGTTGGTCCTGAAGTGAAGAGTAATTACAAAGGGCATGTGCTTACTAGCAACCAGCTCCTCTCTCTGCACTGCTTGCTTGCTTTCCCTATTCAGAGTCGCTAAAGGTACGGGGAATACTGAGAAGGTTCTTAGAACAAATATCTCCACATAGCTCATAAAAGGAGGCATTCCTCCTTTGCTTCCTTTTTTCCAAGGTCACTATCAAGCGAAATGTTCCTATTTGCATGGAGAGGCTGCCTTAGCCTCTGAGAGGACATGTAAATTACTGACCTTGAAGACACTGCAATAACCTGCGGCACTGCAGGCCTTTAAAAAAA